GTTACGACGGAGATTTAGAAGGCACTAAGTAAACCACACCTACATATGCAAACTAAGTGTTATTTTAACCTCAAATTGCATATAAATCAAATACTAGCACATATATATATTTCCTTCCAAATTACTAAACTCACAAATTAATAACTATATAAAGCATTGCAAGAGCTAATCTAGCAATGAGAGATGAAAGGACAAAGTTGCTAACCTTTGTGATCATTTGAATGGATGGGGGCCTTCAAATCTTGACAAATTTTGGGCAAAATGTGTGATGAGCTCGAGAGGAAGAGGGGAAGAACAGAGAGGAGAGGGGAAAGGAGAAGAACAGAGCGAGCTCGGGTGGACGAAGGGTTTATGTAGGACGACCTTTAGTACCGGTTCGTGCCAAGAACCGGTACTAAAGGTGCTGGAGGGGGGCCCAGACTGACAACATCCTGCCAGCACTCTCATTAGTACCGGTTCGTGGCACCAACCGGTGCTAAAGGTTAGCCACGAACCGGTACTAATGAGAGCGGCCCGGCTAGTCGTTGGAACTGGCACTAATGTATACATTTGTGCCGGCTCAAATACAAACCGGCACTAATGTGCTTCACGTTTGACCCTTTTTCTACTAGTGGGCACACACAGGATGGAGTCTGGTACTACTCATCTCGGTACGTAGATTACTGAAATAGCATGCATGTGCCTTTGCACTAGTACTACTAATACATCATGTGAACTCTCTTTTATTTCGTTTCTAGTTTCAATTTTTTAGGCTTGAAAACAGAGTTCATCTTGACATAAGCTTGGCCGAAAGGACATTGCTTATTTCTTTAAATCCAAGCCTTTTTTTCATTCAGAAACTCTTGAAGGATTTCTCTAAAATTAGAAAATGCACCTCTCCATTTGGCATCGGAAGAAAAGTGACAATCCCAAGATCTTCATTCTCGTCATGAAAGTGAGAGCTGATTACTCGCACCTGCGCTGGACGGCCTTCAATCTACAAAGCTTGATGCCCCGGTGGAAGGAATGGTGTGGGGTTAAAGGGGAATGTCGCCATGTGGTCGTCGTCTCCGCCTCCTTGGACTAATGGTGGAGCAGAAGGGGGAGGAGCAGAGAGGTGGGGCCCAGGGTGGCTGGTAGGTACCGATTGAAGAGGAGAAGACGAGGAGGCCAACCCTTTCGCAGCCAATTTTTTTTTTTTTTTTTTGAAATCTCCACACAATCCCCACCCTCTACAGCAGCTTTCAGAGCAATCCCAGCCTTTGGTTTGCAAGTAGTTAAAGAAGGCAAATGAGCTGCTTGATTGGCAATGGGGATTCCGCCTTTGATTGCTGCTGATTTTCTTGCCTCTCCCGAAAAGAATTATCTTTGGAAGACCAGCAGTCCCTGGCAATATGAGCCCAGCCCATGCAGTTTCTGCATCTAATTTTATTTGTGCACTTGGGCCTACTGTGCCCTGCAAGAAGCCAGCGAACGCAGAAAGGTTGTTGGGCCCTCTGGTGGGCTTTGATCGTCTGATAGGAGCCGGGCTGCTTATTTTGAAAACCCTGAGATCCCACCTTGTCATAATTCAAAGTTGAACCATTAACACTGGCATTTGAAGGCCATTCAAGGCGATTGAGAACCGAAGACCGAGAATTATGGTGTTGAGGAATAATGGAGTTCTTCCTAGAATTCGAATTCTTGCCCTGTTCACCAAAGAATCTTGGTGCTTTGACAGCGTCCGCAAAAGATTTGGAAGAATTTTTCGAATGAGAAATCGTTGTCCATTCCTTCTCTTGCTCATTACAGTAAAGCTCAAATTCTTTGCGAAAATTTGGGCCTCCATTGCCCCAAAGGAAGAAGTGAACATTAAAATTATCATTGGCAATGTTGCCTCCATTGTAAATCGAGAAACCAACATCTTTGGAAGCCACAGAAAATTTGAAACACCAATCTCTGACGAAAGAAACCTTGAATCTGGCGGCATTACCTCCAAGGCAGGATTGCAGAATGAGACCCACTGTGTCCAAATTGAGCCTGATCCTTGATCTGGAGAATTGAGCAACCAGAAAGAATTCCTTAGAGCGAGAACCTTCAAGATGATTGACTGTTGATCCCAGGTTTTTCCTAATCTTGTCTTCAAAGTCTAATCCAGCCTGGAACCGAAAGATCGGAAAGCGCCATATTTGTGGCTGTGATCGATCAAAATGATCGATGACAGGAGAGTGTGGCCGATGTCACCGGAGTGGCGATCACTAGGATTATGGTGGCTGAGGCCGCCAGAGTGGCGAACCTCAGGCGGCTGGTGGCTGCCGCCGGCCTGGCCGACGGCGGGCGCTAGGAGCGGAGGGGGCAAGGAGCGGAGGATGGCAGACATACTTCTCAGTGAGTTTCCTAGTCCAGTCCAGCTGTCCGGGTGTGGACGGCCTTTGGATTCCTTTTGAGTGTGGAGTTTCACAAGAGGGTCCGTTATCGCCTAGCCCTTTCATTCTTGTTGCTGGTATTCTCCAAATGATGTGCATCAACACTCTAATCATGGTTGTCTTGCTAACCCCATCAATAGCAATGGTCCACTTCCTGGTGCTGCAGTATGCAGACGACATGATTAATTTTGCTCAAGGGTGAATGGTCAAATGAACAGAAGGCTGATTGTCTTGTTGCTTGGGAACCAACCAATCAATTAATTTATGCAATGAAGAACGGAGCCATGGGCGTTCAGATCTCAACTGAAACCTCCTGTCATCAAACTACAGGCTGCTTAATATAGGTATGAAGCTCTCTGTTCCAGAAGAAGGCCCGGCAAGATTGTATAACCTCCGTCCCAAATTACTTATCTTACATTTGTCTATACAAGGATGTATCTAACACTAAAACATGACCGTATCTAGACAAATCTAAGACGAGTAATTCAGGACGGAGGCGGTAAATTTTTTCTTACCGTCGCATAGCACATGTTTTCTAATGGCCGCATAGCCGTTTCATGTAACATTCTGCTATACTGTATCATTTCTTCACTTCAATTCTTTTTCGTTTTCGGGCTTTTTCTTTATTGGCTCTGGCCTTTGCTTTGTGGTGTGACCTGGATAAGGTCTACTTCAGGTTGCCTTGCACCTTTGAGAAATTTTCAGATCTTTTTGGAATATACTCCCTCTGTAAATAAATATTTATATCACTACTATAGCGACATAAACACTCTTATATTTCTTTACGGAGGGAGTATAAGGTAGACAGTAGCCTCTACCTTCTTATCAAAAAATATCTCTATGAAATTCAGTACACAAATGTGGTCACACTTCTGACACATCTACTAATCTCGCCAGCATACAACTTTGGATATATTGTCAACTACTATCAAACATGTGTTCACAAAATAAAATTTGAGTGTTGCTGCAATTCAAAGTAATCCCGAGGTGGAGGTAATTAGTACTAGTCTGACCCAGTTGATACGTACTGTGATGAATCCTTGAATGATAGTTTATATCCTTCTGACCGTCATGATGATGCTACTCCGTGCATAAACAATTTCGGTCAGCAGGGTCACAAATCCGATGCTTCTGATTCCTACGGGGCACACGTTTGGGCTTCAACAGCGCCGCAGAAACAGTTCAGACTCGGTGCAAAACTTCTATCCATGTGGTTGTGGTGTATGTTGATGTGATCCTAGCAATGGTGAGCTCTAGCTTTTGCTCAGCCTCCGGTGTGCACGCTAGCTTCTTTATGAGTTATGACCCTGCTGACCAGTAGAAACTTGGATAATTGTGAACACAAATACCAAGTTAAAGTGTTGATTTGACCATTTATGAGTTCATAAAGTAAAGTAAAATTAGCTGCCAAATTAAAAGGCCCTGGGTCCATTTTATGCATTTTAAGTTAGCTAGTCCGCATTTCTTATCGGTTGCATTCTGTCATCAGACCTGCAATTTGTATCACCATATTGTCACTTTATTGTTTCACACAACATGGTGTTGCAAGTCTTCAATTTTTTGACTTAATTAATATGCCACCTATTTAGGGACGGAGGAAGTACCTTGCTATCAGCGGGCTTCTCAGAATATCATAAAAGGAAACTACGTCTATTTTTTCCATTGTTCTATTTCCTATCTTTATATCCATGTGTTGTTGTGTTGTCACATTGAATGTTGCATTTAGTATCTGGTATATGTTCAATGGTTCCTTGGTCTGTCATCAGAGCTGCAGTTTGTATCACCATATTGTTACTTTCCTAATATATGTGATAGGAGTTTGCATTTCACTGCACTACATTCACATCTTCAACTACCTAAATCTCTTCATTAACCTCAAGAGACTGGGATGTACCATGTATGGTCCTTTTGGTGGATCTTTAATTCAATAATTTATTCCAAGCGAACGGCGAATTGATAAGCTATGTCAAAAAATCCTACAAATATGTAAATGCACTAAATCAATAGCATTGTTGCGATGATTTTTCTCATCAATACTAGCTGGCACATGTATTTATATTTAGGTAACAACACAGGAATTAATTTATGTCTGCGCATGAAGACCAGTGCTTCCATGGCTTGGCGTTGGGGCGAAGGGTGGTGCGGTGCCCACCATGATAGATCGGGATCAATGGCTGGCTGCAGGAGGTTCAGCAGGGATGAGGTTGCACGGGAGAGATAAAGGGGTTTGTTGCAAAAGCGAAGAGGGGAATGGTGGGAGTCTTTTTGTTAAAGTGCCACCGCGGGCCTTGCATGCGCTAGATATAGATTGGATGGTCGAATGTGTGCTCGGACCCCTGCTCATGTGGATGTCATCAAACAAATTCTGTCCAAATTTGGTTCGGTTTGGTTTGGTAGTACTTTGCTTCCTTTCCTTGCGATGTACGATAGATAGATGTCCAATCACGCGTTGCCCCGCCTCAATAAATAAATTCCCCCGGAACCTAGCCCAGCCCATCCCTCAACAACCAAATCTCCCATCTTTTCCTCTCCGCTGCTGCCGCCGCCGGCCGCGTTTCTAGGGTTTCCCCCATCCCCAATTCGTCCGCCACCACCTCCAACCCGGATCCAGCAGTGATGGCGACCCGAGAGGCAGGCAAGAAGATGATCATGCTCAAGTCACCCGACGGCATGGAGTTCGAGGTGGAGGAGGCAGTCGCCATGGAGTCGCAGACTATTCGCAAAATGATCGAGGATGACTGCGCCGACACAGCCATTTTGATCCCCAACATCAACTCCAAGATCCTCTCCAGGGTCATCGAGTACTGCAACAAACACGTACCGACCACTGGAGCCACCGGTGCCGCTGCGTCTGACACCGTGGCTCCCGCCGCCCTAGCCGAGGACCTCAAGATTTGGGATGCAGAATTCATCAAGGTCAATCGTGCCACCCGCTTCAACCTCATCCAGGTATGATATCCATCAATTCGACCATTTTCTTTTTCTAGATCTACTTTTTCTTGATGTCCCCTTCTGGCACTCGATCTAGATTGGGCTTGCGCGTCTTGGTACTATTTATATTAGATTGGACGAACTCCTCGGACAAACATCAAGGTAGATTCAATTCGATTCGATTGGACTAGATTAGACTTAGATTATACATGATTCTGCTTTATTAGCGACATACACATTGGCCGGCGATACGAAATCCTTGTAAATTGGTTAGGGCATCATCTTGTGGTCTGATATGTTTCACTGATATGTGCATATCATTGTTATGCTTGAAGCTTTATTATGATCAGTGTGAACTTACTAGCTGCACTATCAATGTGCCAGCAAATTGCATATGATTCACGTGCGGAAACATGAGACTACTCATAACAATATATGGCGTTTATGATTATCCTACATATATTAATGCTTCTATCTCGCATGGTAGGTCACGTCATGTGTTGTTTTGTGTTTTATTAGCTTGTAACACATCTTAATGCAAGACAATCTATCTAATTATCCATGGTCTATAGCCATCATAGATTAATGCTTCTCTTTGACACCCTATGATTCTTTTTACTCCCTCTCAGGCTGCAAGTTACCTCAACATCAAGGGGTTGTTGGACCTGACTAGCCAAACGACTATCGACACGATTAGTGACAATTCTCTGGAGGAGATCCGTAGTTTCTTGAGCACCAAGAACGACTACTTGCCTGAGGAGGAGCAGACGATCCGCAGGGAGAACCAGTGGGCATTTCAGTAGAGGAGCGTCTAGGTCGTGTTGAGTGAACGCTTAGTATTCGTCATGTGAACCTTTTAGCTGCACTCCTTGTGTTTTAATTGGTTTTAATTGTACTGGAGTTTATGAGGTTGCGTCAGTGAACATATTCAGTGTTTAAGCTTGCGTGAATATATTATTCATTGTCTTTACATGAGGCTGTAGCGGGCGGTGTAGTCCACGATAGTAGCGTAGCTAGGGCCGACCGACGCCCGGGCCAACAGCTGAAGCTACAGTAGAATCAGTACCTACAATACTAAAAATTGCTACAATTAACGAATGGGTGCACAGGGTGGTGTATTCCCCAAGGTTCTGACAGGCTAGGTAGTCCAAGCCATATTTGAGATGGTTCGTAAATTCATCAGGATAAAATTGGGGAGAGATTGTTGCCATCAATGAAGCATATCAATTTAACTTGGCGTGGTGCAAGAGAATGAGTCGAGAAAGGATGATCTACAATGAGTCAAGATCGAATCAGCACAGAAGACAAAAATCAAAATTAGGAAGAGATTGTTAGGATTAACCTTGAATTAGTAGAGTCCTACGTGATGTGATGTAGTAGCATGCATGCCTATAGTGTCCGAGTAGTAGTATGGTTTGAGTACGTAGGTGTACTATAGTACTTCTCTCCGGCCGTGTAGGTCATGTTGAGTTCGGTTAGGATTCTACTCCTCTTATACGAGCAGGTTTAGGTAAACGTGTCAGGTCGGTGGCTGGGATGCATATATACATACTATATGTGTGTATACGGCCGTGAGTTGTAACTTGGCGAAGAAGGAGAAAATAAAAAGAGAAAAAAGAAAGGCACATGTATCTTTGGCAAAAAGTTTTTGTGCACGTCTGTTTTGTGATTTGATGCATTGTTGCATGCCAACTAATGACGACTGAGAGAGGCTGAGAGGGAGGGTATATGGGGGTGTTTGTTTTCAGGGACTTTTTGATGTAGGGACTAAAAAAAGTCCCTAGCAAACCAAACAGGGTGGGACTTTTTGGAACTTTTTGCTAAAAGTCCTTAGAAGCATCTCTTTAAGAGTCTTTTTCAAAAAGTCCCAGGAACTAAAAAAAAGTCCTAGGACTAGAGAAACAAACACCACCTATGTATCCATCAGTTTTGATCTGTGTGTTTGGGAGAACAAGAAAAGGACCACTGGTGTTCTGGCTATGCGAGAGTTTTATTCTGTTTCTTGGCCGAACGGAGTCCCTGATGCTGATGAGATAATATTTCGGTTTTCTTAATTTTTCACCGTCCATTTTTTAACATCAATATCTACGTCTCTGCGGGTCCCGTGAAGATTGTTCCGAGTACAGCGCATCCCTCCATCGACAGAGCATCGGGCAACCGCAGCATCGCCCCGTCGTGCCGCAGCGCCGTCGCCCCGTAGTTCTCCGCGTGGCTGCACCGACCTGTGTCACCGCTGCGTCACCCTTTCGGGCCGTAGTGTCGCGGCCTCCATCATCGCCCCGAGGCCATCCGCTCCTGGCTATCCTCGTGGATGCACCGACCTTCAAGCCACCGCTGCGTCGCCCCGTCGGGCCGCCATAACGAGCGTGGCACCGTGGTTGCACCGACCCGCGCACCGTCACTGTACCGCCTCTTCGGGCCATAGCGCCACAGTCCGCGGGCCACGCCGTCGCTCCGACCCGCTTGCTGCCGCTGCATCGCCCCTTCGGGCCATAGCGCCGCGGCGCGCGGTCCACTCCACCGTCCATGTGCGTCGACTTCCCATGGTATGCGCCGCACCGGTCTTCATCATATTGTCGGGTTTCTCGCGTATTTCGAGCATCATCGTCGCGCTCCTAACCTAGCCGCCGCCGCCGGCCGTTCACCCCTTTTGTCTTTTTCCAACACCAGCCCATCGCCACCACAACCGTCATGGAGTCTGCTTCTCTTTTGTCCCTCTGACTCCTCGACATGGATTACAGCTCATGCAGGTCCCTCGTCTACGCATAACCGGTGTTGGCAACACATATGCGTGCCTTCATCCACGACGTGTCCTCGGGCCTGTCAAGCCTATTCGGCGCTTCGTCAACTCTGTCTTCGCCCATCTACGCATGCCCGATGCTGGCAACAACGTCGCGTGCCGTCGTGTCCCCAGGCCTGACAAACCACACCGCCTACGAGGCCCAGTCTGGTCACACAGTTTGGGCCTAGGCGGTAAATTTGTCTCTTTCACCTAATGACATGTTGGTCCCACACGCATTCGACAGCCTCGATCAACCAGAGAGCTTTATTTCGTGGGAGCATAGTAACTCTTGTGATGTGGGGTTGCACTGGTCTGTTTGCATTCATAACAAGCACATGGCATGTCGTGAGGCCCAAACCAATGAGACCTGAAGTTACAAAAAGGACCAACACCATAATCACACACACCGTAAGAAAACCTTGACATTTAAATACGTCATGTCATCTCATACACAGAAGCTTCAGTTAAAAACTACTAAGAAAAATGAACAGTAAGTCCTACACAATCACACAATAAGAATACCTTGAAATTACAATAAACAATACTGTAAAAATAAACACTGAACAAAACTACACAAAAGGACTGCATATAGGCAAAAGCTTCAAATGAGTAAGTCATGATTTTACTGTAAGCATGAACCGAAAATATAAGAAACCAAAACTAGTAAAAAAATACTATAAGAGAAATGTAAAAGTTCAAGAGCAAAAACTGGAATTACAGTTTGCTCCAATTTTAATTTACAGGTTTCAACTTACAGTCAAGGTAAAAAAAAACAGAAATAACAAAAGGACAATAACATAGTCAAATCGTGTACTGTTAAAATCATATGCATCTACACTGTAAAATCATCTGCATTTCAATACATGTGCATCTACACTATAATATTATGTGACTGGTAAATTTCAGTTTCCAAACACAAAGACTACAGTTAGAAATCATCCGAAAGAAATGGGCTATTATTTACTGAATTCAGTTGTTAATCAGTTGGAAGATATACAATGAGTTATCAAGCATGAAAAAGGATACATCAAAAACTATTAACGGCTGGAACCACTACTGCACTAGGACTGTACAATGCCAATTAAAAGTTTTCAGAAAATAGAGATTACGCTAGAAGTTCATTTTTTAAATTATGCATGTTGTCACTGACTCACTGTACAACTGTAAAAACAAGAACATTGCCACTACAAATTATATAGAAATTCATTATAAAAATGGGCCAAAGCTAAAAATAGTAAAGCATGATGCAATAATACCAAAACATAGAAAGAACATAGCCAGTGTCACTGTACAAGTGTAGAAACAAAAACATTTCCACTGTAAATTATACAGAAAGGTATGATGCAAAACATATAGCGGCATCAGATCAATGCGAATAAAGAGTATAGACCCACCAACCAACCTAACATGATACCATCCAGATGGGTGTGTGCATACATACCTCCCGGCTTTAGCCAAGTAGTGGCAAGCTCGGCGATCTACTACTACTAGATTGGTTTTGGATGAGAAAGACATCAGATGAGAAGAGGTTGTGGATTTGAAATTAAAAACATTAGGGAGTAGGAGGCACCAGGAAAGAGCGAAACAGCGCTCAATCGAAAACACGACGTCGTGAGTTGCTATAAACGAGAAAATCTGGAATTCAATGTACGACTATGAGTAGCATGAGAGCCACTAGGACATCTTCGGGAGCTGACAGTGCCTTCTTTCCACCTGAATATTGTTTTCCACCTGCCAGTACCTCCGAGAGCGGGGAGGATAAAAAGACACAGGAGGGGAGCACGACAAGGCATTAAAGAAATGAACCGTTGCTCCTTCCTACTCCCCAGCCCCGCCTCCTTCCACAGCCGGTTATTCTCCACAAGCAACCATTGTATCCTCTGCTCTCGTCCAGCCATCGCCGCGGCAATGGTTTGTGACAATCTGATCTTCTTCAGCTACCTTTCCTCCTTTCCCTTTTCCCTGAATCACCAGTGTTACAAGCAACATGTTCAGTTCAGGTGGCATGTCGCAAGCCAGGCACATACATATTCCTCCAAGAAAAAAGCCCCCTCCGCTGCCGCTGCCGCTGTGTTCTCTCCTCATCATCCTCATTGAGGATGCGCCCCTCGCTGGACGCAACACACCATGGCGCTCAGCTCAGTCGCCACCCTGTGCATAACAGTAACCGGCTCAGCCTTGAAACTCACAAAAAATGGAACCAAAATGGAAGCAGATCATTTAGCAGCTAGGTACCGCTGTAAGTATATATTAGTTTACAGAGGGAGCAGTATGCTTCATTTTCCCATCAGAAGCCAACCGAACCATGGAGGACGTCCACTTGGCTGGAAGACCAACCCATGCATATGAATGTTGGCGACATAAAGGAGATTGTTCTCTAGGCACAACTTCACTAATTAAATAATTAATCATGATGACTTCAGATAGTTACTATGGATGTAACTACACTGGCGTGATTGCATTGCAAACCATGCAACAACAAACAGGGCATGAGCCACTAGTAAAAAGATCGAATATCCAGAGTGTGCATCAACCACAAACAATGAAATCGGAATCAGAGGACCATAACACTCTGGAAGCTAGAGAGAGAAGATCAGTCCTCCACCAAAATCTCACTCTGAATTCCTCCGCATCTTTTTCTTTTCCAGATCTGCACACACCAAGTTTAGCCAAATGTTGGACAGATAAATTTCAGAAATAAGAATGATACAATCAGGTGAAACATAAATGGTTTCATTGCAGGCCTTCAACACGTTAGACACCATCGTCAACACCAGTTGGCAGTAGTTGTGGTATAATCATTCACGCACATCACCAAAATCAAAACACAAATAACAGAATTATCAGTAAAAGGGTCCAAAGGGAAGCTACTGGACAAGCAATCTTTGCAAACAGATGAAGGAATCTCTCACACATGTGCACAATTTGTCAGCCAAAGGTAATTTGTTCCAAGAAAAGAGGTACACTACATTACCGCTATATCAATCAGCCACCATCTAAAAAAGTGTAAACGAAGATACCTAAAGAACAATTACTTACACAGCCCAGCTTAGCTTATGAAAGGCACCACATGTGTTGCATGTTTCCCTTGAATCCTACTAAGGGATCATATGAATACAATAGAAACTTTCCTCTAAAGATCTGCTAACCACTGATGTATTTTAAGATAAGAAAGTGATTTTTCAACATAATTTGTTAAGCCCAGTCCCATATGTTCTGAAAACATGAGAACTCATGTCACACAGTTGGGGCTGTGATAATGGAAAATGTTGATAAAATAGTTGTGGCTCCAAAGAGTCTAAACTGAAGCATATAAAAAATTGCAGTATTTGCTTCTGGCACCAATTATAAGACATGACATTGTTGGTGAAAAAAACAGTCAAAAAACTTTCAGCTCTGATCCAAGTTAACTTCACTCCTTGAGATTTCTAAACACTTGCTATGGCTTCACAATTGACTTGGGTGTAATAAGTTTCAGAGTTCGCCCATGACGTCTGAAAGATTCAGAGTTAACTTTCAACTCTGATTCAAATTCAGAGTTCAGAGTACAAAATTTACATCGAGCTTACTGTTTACATGCATGCATAACTCATTCAAATTGTTTATATCCAAGTGAAGATCCAGCATGTCTTAGCAAGAGGAAGCTCGGAGCCCAATGTATGAATTGATTAAAGAACCAGATGCTGCTAGTTATTCAACTTGTTATTTTTTTTCAGGTTGCCTCACTCAGTTGAGCTGATGAATCCGGTAGGCAGGCAACAGCAGCTTGTCAGCCACCATGTTACAATCTCTAGTACAATACTAGAAGGATTACTTAAAAAAAAAAGGGCAACCTGGTGCATGTAGCTCCCGCTTGCGCAGGGTCCAGGGAAGGGTCCGACCACTTTGGGTCTATAGTACGCAGCCTTTCCCTACATTTCTGTAAGAGGCTGTTTCCAGGACTTGAACCCATGACCTCATGGTCACAAGGCAGCAGCTTTACCACTGCGCCAAGGCTCCCCTTCACTAGAAGGATTACTTAACTTGCAAAAGAGAGAGAGAGAGAGAGAGAGAGAGAGAGAGAGAGAGAAATAGGAGCTTCCCTGAATAAAAGCCGTGCCGTCATCAGGCCATACTTGTCACTAAAGCTTCAGGGCATCATCAACTAACCGAGCCTTCAGAACCATTCATATTACAGCAAAGCCATAGCCACCATGGTTCGTCTCGTCTCCTGGAAGAAGGAAAAAAACATCATCTACATCCAGTTTCAGCATATCTTCTCCCGAAAGAAAGAAAGCACCATCCACAATCAGTAAATAAGTATGAACTATTGCACGGCTACTTCTTGCTTGAGGAAAACTCCCTGTCCTCTCACTTGGTAAGTGACTTCATCAATCGATCCGTTTCCTCCACCTGCATTGAAATAATCTTGTTTCTATAATTACCACAAGCACCAGAAAATGGACACAACTGATCTTCAAATCACATATCTTCACCAGTATAGCATGGACCATCCCCTTTGCCTTACTGCAAAGATCTCATTTCGTCCAACTTCTATAACTTCAAATCAGGAACAAACAAATGTGGCACTATCCTCGCACAGCTTGGTTCTAAATTGAGGTACATAGCATGTCTACTGTTCCTACATTTGAAATTCCACAAGATTCTATGCTATCTTTTCCTTTTCCTTTTCCACAAGATTCTATGCTATCTTTTCCTTTTCCTTTTCTGACTTTCCAGCTAGAAATTTGCAGAAGATGGATGATACATAAGACCACTTTACTGTGTTAACAAAATATGCTAAGGGACAAAGATGCCCTCATTATCTAAAAAGGAAGTGCTAATATGGAATAAAATTAGCTAAAAGATATGGCAGAAGTTAACTTGATAATGGCATAACCTTTTCAGGTTACACAACATATGTTCCCTTATTGTATGAAATGCACTCTGCTTTTCATCATCATACTGTACAAGCATCGATTTGCTTCTCCCGTACAAATACCAGGGAACCTAAAATGTCTACATAGTGGTATACAAGTTTAACACGGTGTGGCAACTGGCCAACAACAAACCCAAAACTGTTTCCTGGGGAAAAAGAAGTGCAAGATTTTCATCTAAAGGAAAGTTTTGAGGCTTCAAATCATCTTCATGGCCAAAATGGGAACATTCTTTCATGGAAAGATAGGTTGAAGATACAGAGTGTGCAGAAATACTACTAATTGATACTTCAAAGCGCTTGCAGGATGCCCTGATCTCTCACTCTTAGTTACAATATGACATGATGAAGGACAAGTTGATAGCAGTGCTATGCTTTCTTCTCTACTGAATGACAAATGAACATACCAATTTTCATGTGAATCTGAATCTAGCTGGCACTTCCCCTCTGCAAGCTGCTGCATAGTCTTCAGCAAGGTGCGGTGCAGCTTCCTTGTGTGGGCATATGAACTTGTCCATGAATACCTTCGGAGTCAGCGCGACTGCAGAATAGTAATCCCGGTCGCGATGTAGCAATCTGTTTTCCTTGAGATACTTCATAACGTAGTACCGGGGCCTGAGCCGACCATCCAGGCTATAATTGAGCATTGCCGGCCGATGAGCAATGTACCCCGGTTCCAACCCCGCCTCGGAGATGAGGAACTCTGATAAGCGTTGCAGCCTCTCCTTAGAATAGGTCAGCACCATCGGATTATTGGGCAAAGCAATGCCCACCTCAGAATCTGACCACCTTAATGTCTTCTTCAAGTAATCCACTTTGGTGGCAATCTTCTCCTCGTCAGTGGATGCGACAGCCTGCAACGCTTTTCCTAACATCCCAGAGCCATGCGGCACACAGAGAGCTTTGGCGCATGCCACCATCGCCTGGAGGCGCTGCTGTTTGATTCTGAGGACCCTTGGCTCACGGATGCATAGCTTGGCAATGTCGCAATCATGTAGCCCGCACTCCCGCAGGAACGCGACATTGGGCTTGACCACCCTCTCGAGGTCAGAACCATGTAGCCAGAAGCCGCGTTTGAGCAGCCGGAGCAAGTTGTCCATGGACCCGAAGAGTGTCAGGTAATACTGTACAGCGGAGACGATGGATCTGCAGCGGAATTTGCCGGGGACGAACACGGCGATGCGCGCGACCTCAGAGCGCGAGAGGCCGAGGCCGGTGAGCCCGTCGACGACGGGGGCCAGGGTTCTCTCCACGCCGGCACAGAGTAACAGCGGGTCCTTGGCGACGGCGGTGGCGACGTCGGCGGCGGAGAGGCCGATGCCGGCGAGGACGGCGTCGGGCTTGGCGGGGGACTTGAGGTGGGAGAGCTTGGCGGAGGCCTTGAGGGCCTGGGCTGCGGTCAAGCCGCAGGCGGAGACGAGGTACTCCTCGGCGGCAAAGCCTGGGGAAGCTGCCGGAGAAATGCCGGAGGCGGCTGCGGCGGAGAGGAGGCGGTGGAGAGGAGAGACATGGGAGGTGTAGGGAGAAGAGAGGAGCTGGGTGAGGTGCAGCTTCGGAGCCGAAGCATGGCGTGGCGGCGGGGAGGCGCCGGCGGCGAGGGGATGGCCAGTGACGGCGCGGCGCGGTTGGTGGCGAGAGACGGAGAGGGTAGTGAGGGTTTGGGGCTGGACTCTTGCGTCGTGCCTCTGATAATGGGCTAGGATGGGCTGGGCTGGGCTGGGCTGGGCTGGAGCTAGGCTGCTTGCAAACAAAAGCCATCTTTCCCCTATAAAAAAACACGAGCCATCTAAAAAAACATGAGCACGTTCATCGAGTGGATAATGTCAATCAATTTTTTTGGCCTAACTTGTCACGCAAAATGATCACAAAACATGGAGATACTTAATTACTTACTATTATGTGTCCGGCGTACATTTCCATATGCAACAATTTTGAAGCGGCGCCCTTTATTTGTCGGTTCCTCCGTCATGTTTTTATATTATTACGTTTTCGGGCAAATTTAACTTGAGTAGATTTAGCGGAAGAGTAGTGTCCATTACTTTTACCGCTTGTGTCATCTTATAGTGTCATGTTCAATCTTTGGTCACGTGTGTAAAGTTCGGACCCGTCTTTCTGCAACCCCGCTAGTGTTGCTACTGCACTTGCTATTGCGGTGGAAACTAAAGGGGGTTGGATGGTCGCTCGTTCTGCAACCGCGACAAACCTGCAGGCAAGAGTTGGAGTTTCCTATTGATTTTCCTTGCGGATGGGATTGTCTCACCATGGCCCCAGTCATCGTCCGCCCCACCAGCATCACCGACGAAAAAATATTAGCCGGCTAAGCCTTGAAACTCAAAAACGCAACCAAAGTGTGAAGCAGATATGCATTGTTCGGTTAGCAACGCTTGCATACGACACACCAGTCAGCCAAACAGTATGGAGGGTTTTCAATATAGTCCTACTCCCTAATTGCTAGATTATAATGCGTATAATTGTTGGTCAAAGTTAAATTTTGTAAAGTTTGATCAAGTTTATATACAAATTTATCAACATGTAGAATACCATGCCATTAGACTCATGAAGAAATATATTTTTGTACATTATATATTTCGTATTTTGAATTCTTGTATTTTTTTCTATAAACATAGTAAAAATTTACAAAGTTTGACTTTTGACCAATAAAATTTTGTATGCACTATAATTTGGCAAGGAGTGAGTAGTTTTTTTTTTCATTTTTCCCTCATCTGTCAAAAGCAATCAAGGTTTACCGGCTTCTAGAACTACCAACTGTTGATTTCGAGGAGTAGGCACCTCAAGTAATTCCTTGTGTGCTTGAGATATCTCTAAGCTAGAATATTTCCTTATTTTCTGCTACAACTTTTGAGTCGTGTATCAGGCAAGGTTTGTAATAAAAACAACATCATTAGCCATTTATAGGATTGTTAATTATTCAAGCCATATTTGTGCATAGTGTTTACTGATCATCAAAACAGTGTGAGTAAATACAAGGTAATCCAGTTTATGAAAATTGGAACAGATCCGTCTTCCAATTTTAGCCGGAGTTGGTGGGTCTAGGTTGAGAAAATGATCGGTAGAGAGGTGATGGTAGGTCGGATTGAGTTGAGGATTTCTTTTTGCCACATATTATACACAGTGTAACATGGAAGAATTATAGACCAGGTCTCTAAGGCAAGGTTTACAACATGGACAGAAATTTAGAAAAGAAGAGTGATAGATGGACATACTTTGATTTTTTTTATTTTGACTTGAGGTTTATCTTCATATATATGCTTATCGCAGATCATTTGGCTTTTAACAATTTAGATACATGTCGTTATAAAGCAATGGACAAGATCTGCATTCGATATCCAAAATGGCACATAATGAATGGATGGAGTTAGTAAGATCAAGATCCTAATCAGTGGCACTTGTATATAAAATGGAACGAACACAACAAAAGTTATTGAGACCATGACCCTAATGAGTACACTTACATATAAAATGGAAGACAACTAAAGTTACTGAGACCATGGTCCTAATGAGTGGCGCTTTCATATAAAACTAAGCATAACAAAAGTTAATCCTACACACAAATGACTTTACACTACATGTGTTGCCAATTAAGCCAGCCCCATACATGGTGACGGCTCTTCGATCAATTTGAGAACCCCTGACCCCAGGTAGGCAATGAGGCCATTTAATCAAACTGCTGATTAACTAACCCTTCTGTTTTCATGAAGTGGTTTCATTTTTTTTTTCGAAGGAAAAATCAACAACGCAGCTATCGAGTAGGAAGCATGAGATCAATCGAGATTGAAAGATGATTGAGTAGGAAGCATGCTCGAGATCGAAACAAGGCATGAGACTCAAACATCCCTAAGCACTATTAGGTGTTTTTATTGTCGGGCTGTCTAATGATGGCATGAACTTAACTCTCTTGACGCAACACTACATCTACGGTCTTGTCCTTCGTCTTCCCCTGGAAGCGCACACGCTGTAAAAACATAAGAGCTTGAAGATAGCTAGATGCCCTGAGATAACAACCTACATAGCAAAATTATTTTGACGGTTCCATAAAGCCCAAAATGACCCTACGTGGGGTACATCTAAGCCCACACATAATTTTTTTTTGGAAAAGGAGGTTAAACTGGCCTCTGCATCAATCGGTGCATACGTTCATCTTTATTAATTATTCAACAAAGGACTAATAAGAACATACATCAAGCCACCCGAAGCTCATATGTGTAGGTGTTCTCACCCCATATCTAAAATCCGTGTCGTCGTTGATCCATCGACATAACGTATTGAAACCAACAGCCGGTGCAGCAAACCTAAAGCGCACACCACATGCACACGTTTTAGAAGCTGCCATCATCATCGGACCGCTGACCCGTCTTCAGGAGAGAGATCCACATCATCCTAGTCAGTCCAGACATCCGACGACGCCACCACGGCGCCCAATGGTGCCACCGACCTGAGCGCATCCATCCAGACGCGAAGACTCTGGTACATCTGTCGTGCGTAGCACCTGTCGGCCAGGCATGACTTGACATCTCCATCGAAGCTCTGTGCAAGACTTAGCCGCTCCACCTCCTCCCTCTGTATTCCAGCGCCGCTCCGCAAATGATGCTCCCAAGAGAGAAATAACACTGCAGTACTGCCATCATCCGATCTGGATGACCGGATCCTAGGGTTTCCCCCGAAGTAGCATGAGTGAGTCGACAGAAGTTACACGACGATGCCTCATCAAGGTAACGGCGCAAAATGCCGCCATCGGCTCGGTTTTCACTAGCAACTCTTTCTCCCCAACTCGTAGCCGGGACTAGATGACGATCTGGAGATCCAACCATCCAGCCTCAGGCAGACCATCTCCGGCGAAGGAGGTGGCCACCACCACCACACCCAGGGTCGGAGCCTCGATCCCAGGAGCAGCATGCTGTTGACGGAACAGTACACGATGTGTGTGGCCCGCCGAAGCCCAACCGGGCCCAGATCGGATGCCCAAGCCGCTGCCGTCCCGTTGCCATATGCCACCGCCCCACATCACTGCCTTAGATCCGGCTGGCGCGGCCGCCGCGACCCTGACAGAAGTTTTGGCTGAGGCCCACACATAATAGTTGTTAATTCCGCAGAACGTTGTGGTTTCCACGGAAGATCAGAGATGTCCCAAACATAGCCCCACGTCAGTTTCGATGGCACACAAGTGAAGGAAATACGGTTAGTGTCTTCCTGCTCAACGCCAATGGGAGCATGACCGACTATCAAGTTAAAATCTTTGGTCTTCAAGCAAGGGCAGAGACGTCGACCAGAGCAATTTGGCACGAGGCGTAGCCGGTCCCCTGACTAGCTTGTCGTAAATGGATCGCACCGAGAAATGACCCGAGTCCTCAAGATCCCACGGGACAACGTCTGGGGCATCGAGGGCGAAATGGGAGCTTAGCTAAGTAGCATGTTCCAGCGAGTAATGGAGCAAGTGCCCGAGGGGATAGGTTTCATCTAAAAGTAAGGTTGACATTGCCTTCACCTAAAACCGAGTGGACCATTATTAGTTTAGCTACATGTAGACAGAAAAAAAAACAATGGACATGATCTACATTGGATATCCAAAACGACACATAAAGATTGGATGTAGTTACTGAGATTGTGATATCCTACTCAGTGACACTTCTATATAATATGAAACACAGCAAAAGTTACGGAGATCATGATCCTAATGAGTGACACTTACATATATAAGAAATGAAACACAACAAAAGTTAGTCATAACATGAATGACTTCACACTACATCGCTTGCCAATTAAGCCGGCCCCGTGCATTGAGATGGCTTTTGAATTTGAGCACCCCATGACTGACCCCTGGTAGCCGGTGAGGCCAATTAACATACAGATTAGCCAGCTCTTCCCTTTCCATCAAGTGCTTTCCTCTTTGGTTCGTGTAGCACCAATGCAAAGCAATATGATAGTATGTATCCTTTGCATGTGTAAATGTGCACCCATACACGTCTGTAAGTACATGGTACTCCCTCCATTCCACAATATAGTGCGTATTGTTTTTTGTAAAAGTAAAACACCACGAAGTTTGATCAAGTTTATTGAAAAAATATCAACAATAATAATACAA